CTGTGCTGATGTGTACCGACACGCGCAGGATACCGAGGTTAACGCATCATTTCGTTACAGTACAGTCAACCAGTCCCAAGCACGACGAGCCACTGCCGAAACTCAAGGGACCCCGAGGGCTACAGGTGACGAGCCGCCGTCGGGGGTGCGAGGGGGACAGCAGGAGAAGGGACAGACAGGCGAACAGAGCAGCAGGATTATTACTTTTTTTCACTTTTTTCCCCCCCCCCCAAATGAGCATGGAAAGCAACAAAGCCTCCTCCACTTCCACTCCCGACCCCACGCTGGAGCTCTGCACCCGTCGCAACCGCCTGCGTCCCACAGGCGGGCTGACACGCAGGACCTCGGCAAGGAGCCCCGGCTGTCGCTGCCTGCGACCTCCCGAGAAGAGGGGCGAGATGGGGAGCGCTCCCCCCACTCTGCCTTTCCGAAAGCGGCCGGGGCTCCCCCCGGCCATGCTGGTGGCTGGGCACCAGCACCGCACAGCCCTCGCGAGCTGCGAGACGGATCAGCGTTCACAGGAGTACGCGCGCCCGATCGCTCAGAGCGCTAAAATTAAAAAAAAAAAAAAAAAAAAAGGCGCAAAACATGATTGTGGTGAAGCATCCAAGCTAAAAGCAAGGCCGAACTCCCTCCTCAGCAGGAGGGCAAGAGCTTCCTCAAAAGCAAAACCCCTCTCTGGACAGCTGTCCCTTTGTCCGGCGCCGTGTGCGATGCCTCCTGTACGCAGCAAGAGGGAAAGCGCCTCTGCAGACCTGTCCCCCGTGCAAACCACGGGACAAGGGAAAGCCTTGCTGCGGCCAGCGCTTCCTCAGCCTGGCACCGGCCTCGCCGGGGCCACCGCGCAGCGCAGGGGCGCTGCCCGGTAACCAGAGCGCCGCGGAGCTCCCTGCCCTCGGCCACCACCCGCACCGTGACCGGCGGGCATCGCGCCCCGGCAGAGAGCAGAAGCGAACGGCCCCGCGTTCCCTCAGTCCGGGGGAAAGACAGGCGGGAGCAAAACAAGGCACACAGTCCGCGTATCTGGAGGGTGCTGGGACCGCTGGGGGTGTTCTTCTGACCCACCTTCCCCTGGGAAACGGGGGTTTCCCGCAGGGCCCTCGGCCACACTGATGTGACAAACCACTGACTCGGCAGAGGGGGGAAAAAAAAAAACACTCTTCCATGCCAAGACTAGTCTCAGCCTTAGAAATAAAAAAATAATTTAAAATCAATTCAGATTTTGGGAAATTCTCTGGGAAATTCTTACCTCTTCTGTCACCCAAGCAATTCCACAGTCTGCTCCACAAGCAACAGCTCCACAGCAGGAGGTTGCTCCTCCTCATTTCCTATTTCGTTTGTTGCTAAAACGCAGACAACTGGCTCCAAACGAGAACACGCACTGATGAGAGGAGCACAGGGACGCAGCAGCAAGGACCACCCGCGGCACAGCCAGACCCGCTTCCACTTGCGAACAACCAGCAACGCATCTCCAATGTCCTTGATCAACCCTCACCTCCAGCCTCCGAGGCTCCTTCCCAAATCAGGGGCAAACCCGGCCGCATCCTCCGCAACCTCAGAGATTTGACTCTGGCTCACGAGAGAGGGGAAATCCAAAGATAACAGTCACAGCCGCAGCACTGTACAAGCGTTACTTGCCCGTCTTGCCTAGTTACCACCCCGCAACCCCAGAGCACTGCTGCTGTAACGGAGCAAGCCACGGACACGCCGAAATCGGGCCTGCCAGCGGTACCAAGCTGCAGGGTGATGTGGTAGGGGCGGACAGACCCGGGCAGGATCACACCACCGGGAAACGGCAAAGCAGCAGCTGCCCAGCCTCACTCCAACCCAGCTGTGCTTTCGATTCTAGCAGCAGTTCACGAAGCTGCTCCACGCGGACCAGCCCACCTCCCCCCCACCCACTAAAGCAGCATCTTCGACGCAGTGTCAGTTCAGCAAGGCGACAACTTCAGCCAGGGCCCCGCGAGCATCCACAGCCACTGCTGATCAACAACTTGCCCAAGCTCACCCTGATCTCTGCTCTCAGCTCCTGGCTGCTCTCATCCACCAGCCCCGCAGCCATACTGGGACAGCCCTGGAGAGATGACGACTCCTCCCCGCTATGAGACGCAGCTCTGGATCAACTGGATACTTTGGGAAAACGCTGTTTGTTACCAGCTTGTGATTTTGCAGAGAGGGTAACGCAATTAGCTGCATTTCCGAGTAGCCCGCTGCGGTGCCCGCTCCATGCTGCGCACAGGAGCACGCTTTGCAGCTCACAAGGATGGAGTGCCAGAGCCACAACCAAGCCAGCAGCAAGGCAGGTATCCCGAGCCCGGAGACGGAGCACAACAGCAGCAAGGCAAGCAGCTCTGGCTGAAAAAGAGCTCCTACCCTTACAGTGGGAGCGTGACTTTCCAGTGCTACTTCTGGGCCCCAGGAGCAGATCTCACCGCTCTGACACGTGCCCCCTGCAAGGGAACGCAGCTCACCAGCCTGGGGAGGGTTTGCCCGCCAAAGCCCACCCGGTGCTGGGCAGAAGAACCAAGTAAACGCCGCAGCAGCTCTACCGCCATCCCCTTGCCTCAGCCGAGCAAGGAGCAGCACGGTGTTCTCAGTCCTTGGAGACACACAGGGACGCTGCCCTGAGCGGGAAACTCCAGACAGCCGCCTGCCAAGACACGATGCACAAGGAAGCCCAGGCGAGAGCCCTCCTTTACCGCTCGCACGAGTCCCACTAGCAGCCCCAGGCCAGTGATGGCTGCGAGAGATGGGTTCCCCAGGGCTGCGGCGCTCCCTCATCAGGCTACAGCATTAAGCGGCACCAGGGACATGCCAGCCCTCCTGCTCGCTCACAGCGAGCGCCAGTCCCTCCAGCTGCTGTGATGGGTCTCCCTGCTCACCCCCCGACCATGCTGGAGGCACAGACCGGAGCAGACCGGCCTCCTGCCCCAGCTGGCGCCGAGCGAGGCCGTAAGCACGTACAGTTGCTGTTGCGAGGAGGATGCTACAATGGTATATACAGAACGTAGCGGCTTCAACTACTTCGTGAG